AAGCCACAAATGACAGTCTAATGATCAAGTTTTAAATGAAACTCTGCAATCTATGTAGATCATACAGTACTTGCCAATATAAGATGTGTGATACATATCTTCACAAACAACTCTCTTTAAAAAGGACAGTGTTCCAAATACAGTCTTTCTAGGTGGCTAGTATAAAAGGTTTGTCATTTACATCCTTTTCTTCTGTAGTGGTCTTCTCTGTTCCACCACAAAGACATTACAGATCAGAATTGCCATAGTAGCTTTGCTTTGCATCTGCCTTTTCCTTACACAAATCATGATTTTTTTCTTTTCCTCGGTTCAGGCTACCATTTCATGATTTTTTTTAGCCCATGATACTGGTAACAGAATAAAACTCAGTCCAGTGTTCCTCGACTTTTAAAAGTGTTTTATTTTCTTTTTTTCTTTCTGTCTCTTGTTCTTGCATTGTTTGTTTGTTTTGTAGGTTGTTAGTTTGCTTTTGCTTTCTTTACCAATATCCATGAATTCATGAAGTACTTTGACTTTCCAAAACATTCAAAGTTCATTAATGCAAGTGATTGAAGTGTTTAAGATGTACGGTTGAGAATCAGGTGCATAGTATGCTGTGGAACTTACTACCAAGGAATGCACGTTTCTAATCCGTGCTACTACCATGTTCAGTTCTGTGAGGAGTATACAGTAGTACTTAAAGTATGCTAAATTAATGCATTTGCTGATCTTACCAGTGTTTACAGAAGTCATATAAAATTATTTGTGCATCTGTGTAAATTCAGTAAACACTGAGTTAATAACACTGAATTGTTAAATCTGTAAGCTGATAAAATCTGCTTTTAGAAAAAAAAAAAAAAAAAAAAAAAAACACCTGTTTGTCTTACTGAGCTGTCAGGATGTGCTTAGTTCACTATTAGTAATGAATAAAAGTTCATGGAGACCACCAGAAGCCATCTTCATGTTCTGAAGGTCCTTCTTATAAAAAGTATGTCCTTACACATCATTCGATTTTCTGAAACATTGCTACTTCAAAGTTAATCTCTGCCACAGAGTACTAACAAAGTTAATGTCTGCCATTAGAAATATACAATCTTTCTGTGGAAGCGGGTAAAAAGTAGGTCTGGAGAATTTAAAACCTTACATCTCAGAAGGAAGTCTTAGGCAGACATACAGATGTTAATGGACCTATGAATTGAGTATCACAGTTGTTTTTCTTTCTTTTTTTCCTCTCAAAATAAGTTGGCTTTGTTTTTAAAAGTGGTGGTAAGGAAGGACAGGAAATGTTATGGCCTGCCATAACATTTATTGCAATAATCATACTGCTTGCTAGCAATTAGACATAACTGCCTGTAGAACTAATATATAATTTCTTCTTGATATGCTTGTGGTGAGTTGTATTATCAACGTTTTAATTTTCTCTGAAGCAAACTAGCTGTCAGCTACTTGCAGGCTGAAGCAGACTGTTAGATCATGTGGCCCAGTAGACTGACTCAGTCTGGCATCTGGTACTGGATGTGATTCAAGAACACTGTCATAGTTTCTGCATAGATTTACACAATGTACTTCACAATGCTCTCCATCTTATTATTCATACTTGATTTTTTTTCTCAGTCTTTTCCTTTGCCATATGTGTTATTGTTTGTACACATTAAAAAGAATTATGGGATAATGTGCCTTTATCTGCCATTACAGAAAAATAGTCATAGTTTTTTGCACTAACAGAATTTGCTGCAAGAAATGATTAATTTTACACTTATGGTAGATTTGTCCAATGATCTGACCCTAAAATTGTCTCTGTGTTACTTAGTAGAGAGGATAACAGAATATATTTGAAATGAATCATTAGCATTTTCAAACCTTTGTGGAATTTCAGCATTCAGAATTTACAGAGAAAATGTAATAGTGAAGAAAATTCATATGAATACGCTTGTTTGTACCACAGTCTTAATAAATTTAAGTAATTCTGAAATGTAAACATGTTAGGGGACTTTCAATAAGATTTTTGTAGTTATGTTCCTGTCTTGCCTGTCTTGTAGTTGTGTTCAGTCATAGAATCATAGAATCACCAAGGTTGGAAAAGACCTAAAAGATCATCCAGTCCAACCGTTCACCTATTCCCAATAGCTCCCAAATAGCAAAGCAGGAATTAAAAAAATAAGTACAAATCAGGAAGAAAACTGGAATACCAGAAGAAGACTACTGGTGCACACAGTGTCAGAAAAATAGTGTATTGCAAATGTTCCAGATGTTCTTCAGCACAAAATGTGTCTTTTCTCCTAATGCAATACAGTATGTAGCATATAAAACCAAGATACATTACTGCATGTTTATTCTTTAGCTTAAACTCCTTTCTTGAATATTTTAAGCATTCATTGCCAAGACTACTTTGCTATGAAAGTCCTTGTTCATTGATGAAGAGTTGGACTAGATGACCTTTAAATGTCCCTTCCAACTCAAATTCTGTGCTACTGAGTCCAACCAATGCTAGTTCCTCTTTGTCTGTCTTTGCATCTGAATGTCAGTGTTGCATCTCTTTTTATTGCTGGAGAATTTAGTTCAATTTAAATTAAAGCAATCAGCTTCTTAACTACAGTAATTAGATGCTTTGTAATGTTTAATTGCCCCACAAATTGGATAGCTCAATATGGGTTGCAAATAAGTATGCTCATTGTCCAGCAACAGCATTTGAGGAGCCTATGACATGGTTTGATGAAATAAACACAATGTGACAAATCCTAGGTAATGCAATTCTGGTTAAATCAAAGAAATGATTTTTAGATTATACCAGCTGAGTGATATTTCTGAGGCACAGTAAACACAACTAAACTACAGAATTGCTCGTGCTACTAGTTGCCAAGTCCAGTAAATTTGAGATTTGCTTGTACTTATATCCTACTTTCATTCTTTTAGCAGCCCTTGTTTTGATTTCTTCTTGTTATATTTTTTATTTTTTCCCCTATTGGTGGAAAAAAAAAAAAGTATAATTATTTCTCTATATTATAAACCTAGCTGGATTTGTTACTAATTGAATGTAAACCCTTCAGCTGGCAATCAGAGAGACTCAGCCGTCTCAGCTTTAGTTCCAGGTCTGATAACTGGATATAGGAGAAGAGTCAATATTCTTTGCATGGTTTCCTGTTTACAAATCCTTGCTTGGATATCATATTCTTCTTCCTTGTGATATTCCTTTGTCCAGGAGTATGGAGCAAGGGGGACATCGTAATAAAGCCCAGACATACTTTGTTTAATACAGTGAAACAACTAAGAAAATGCTGAGGTTCCCTTTATAAAATTACATTTTTTTTCTGTGAGCTTTCTCAGCATCTTTTTGATTTATTATTTTGTTTCACTCCATTTGTGTCTGTAAGCCTCTAAAACTGATAACGGAAGAAAAATAGCAAGTTTCAGGTGAACAAGGTATAATGGAACAGCAGGATGCTTGCAAGCCACTTAAATTAAAATGATGAGGAAGAAATAGATATTAATTATCTCAGGCTCCATTATCTTTCCATTTTACAAGCAGGGAATATTTAACTCCCCAGGAAGAAAAGAATTAACTTCCTTTGAATTTTTCCACAGTGAACCAGTGCTCAAGAAGCAAAATGCTTCCTTTCAGACTGGAGAAGTAATTTAAAATCCCATATAGGGGGTAACTAGATGAAAGATCAGAATCCAGTATGTTCACTGAGCAGGAATGATGAAATGAAAAGGTAGACAAAGAAGAGACTATGTTTATGTTCACTCTATCCCACAAACTATGACCTCCTCCACAGTCACAAGGACCTACTTTCAATTTCAAGGCAATAGCTATAAATGTTAATAATTGCCTTTACCTCTTTCTCTGTGGCTTAGCTTCTTGCCCCATTACCAAAACCATTATGTTTCTCAGCAATTCATTCTCTACATAATCTCATTTCATGTCCCATGTTTCCTTTATTGTGTTTCACCTTGGACAGTACATCATGTAAATAAAGCCTATATCCATAATCTGCTTAAAGAGAATTCACTCTTGAAAACACCATTCCAACTTGTGTCCATTATAGCAGATCTCTTTAGACCTCATTAGGTGGGACAAGCAGGTGAGTATTTTAAAAGCTATTTCAGCATCTGCGATGTAACCTTGAGTATATATTCAGAACTTCTAGTTGTATTTAAAGTATGAGCATGAATCAGATAAAGACATTGAGAAAGATGTTCATCAGACCATATTTCTACTTCAAAAATGCCTACATTTTCTGTTAAAGACAGTGTTATAGTAGACAATGATCAAAAGGACAAACACAAATTCTTGGATATTTTTAAGTATTTTCTCAAAGTAGAAATAGAGATTTAACATTCAAATAGGCTGGAAAATGTGCAAATTGGTACTGAAGATGAAAACGATTGAGTTAGAACTGATGTATTTTTCCAAAAGGGAAGAGAAAGCCTAACTTCAAATTATTCTCTCTGTATCTTAGAAAAAATAGAAATAAATGATCTACTATTTGTGGAAAAGAGGTAGTATTTTTAAATTCTGTTTCATATGTATTATGATGGAAGAGCAGTGTATTGTCCTTTTTAAACCAGGTTTGACTTTGAGTTTGTTTAGCATTTCAACAAGCTGTGTGTGAAATGAAAATGAGCTGATTCTCTTCTACTTCTGTGAAAGCCAAATGCCTGTGAAGGATTTTGACACCCTCTCATGTCATCTCAAATTTGTTTGATGCAGTTATTGCTGTTTTTTCCATTATTGGTCTTAAGTTTTGGTTTCTAATAAATCTGAAGACCTTTTTCATTGCAGTTTTAGTACTGAGCAGCATTCATGGCAGAAAACAGGTTTGAAATGCTGCCTGTCCTAGATATCAGATAGAGCTAAAAATATTAACATTCTACTTGCATTTTTTGTGTGCACTTAAAGACATAGGAAATTGGTTCCTGTAACACTTTTTATTTTACATAAGAAAAAAATAATAATTACTTTCAAGCCTGGAAAATGCAATTAATGTTTCTTTCCTCCCTTTTTTCTTTTTGTTCTCAAGCTTCATTCTGATTTGGACAAGGGAGTGGGCACTGTTAAATATACCCTTTCAGGAGATGGTGCTGGCACTGTTTTTACTATTGATGAGACCACAGGAGATATTCATGCCATAAGGAGCCTAGATCGAGAAGAAAAACCTTTCTACACACTCCGAGCGCAGGCTGTGGATGTTGACACCAAGAAGCCACTAGAGCCTGAATCAGAGTTCATCATCAAAGTGCAGGACATTAATGATAATGAGCCAAAGTTTCTGGATGGGCCTTACATTGCCAGCGTACCAGAAATGTCTCCAGTGGGTAAGAGGCTTTAAACTCTTGATAACTAATTGCATAACTCTTGATAACTTAATTGTCTCAATATGCATTTCCTGCTGAGGAGAAAAAGGGAAGGCTGAAATGAAAATACGTTTTCAAAAAGTTACTGTTAGAAATGTCTCACTCTGTATGTAGAAATATGCATATTGCAGTTTCATTTTTTCGTTTCATTTTTTGCTTTATTTGCTTGTTTAGTAAGTTATTGTCCTACACAAATGAGTCCTTTTAACTTTTAATTCCTGAAGACATGAGAAGAATAGAAATGGTACTCATGGCAGATACTGTTTCAGAGATTCTGTACTCTCAGACATGATATTGCATGTGATGAAGTGTGTTCCCTTTTATTCCTAGTTTGTGTTCATTATTTGCTGTGAAACATCTTGCCGTTTATTTTTCCTGCCTATGCTGCTGCACAACTAATAGCATTTGCATAATCCCATAGTTATGATATGAGGGAGAATTCTTCATCCTGTTACCTCATAGGTGCTGAAAGTAATGATAGCCCTCACCTGGCAGTCACAATGAAAAATAGAAGTGGGAGAGATCCAGCCAGACTTGGCTGAGGTCTTGAAAACCTATTTAGTCATGATATTTAGTGCACTAGATTCCTAAGCCAGAAAACAACAACAACAACAACAAAACAGAAGATTGATTGCAAACATGGTATCCATGTTACTGTGGGAGCAGAGAATTGTAGAATCATATAATTATTTGAGTTGGAAGTAGTCTTGAAAAGTTATCTGGTCCAACATCCCTGCAATGAACAGGGACGTCTACACTCAGATTATGTTGTCAAAGCAGAGAATGGCTTGTGGGTAGCCCTGAGGAGAAGGATTTTTGGGGTGTCAGTTGATGAAAGACTCAACATGATCTGTCAAGGTTCGCTTGTAATCCAGAAGGCAAACTGTATCCTAAGCTGCATCAAAAGAAGTGTCAACAGCAGATCAAGGAAGGTGATTCTGCCCCTTTTCTCTGCTCTTGAGACTTCACCTGGAGTACTGCTTCCAGTTCTGGGGCCCCAAACACAAGAAGGACATGAAGCTGTTGTAGCAGGTCTGGATGAGGGCCACAAAGATGAACAGGGGGCTGGAGCACCTTCCCTATGAGTTAAGGCTGAGAGAGCTACATATCTTCAGCCTAGAGAAGGCTCTGAGGAAACCTAATAGCATCTTTCCAACACCAGAAAGGAAATCTTCAAGAAAGCTGAGGAGGAGCTTCTTATAAGGGCATGGAAGTGACAGGACAAGGGAAATAGCTTTAAGCTGGGTGAGGGTAGATTTAGACTAGATGTTGGGAAGAAATTCCTTACTGTAAGGATGGTGAGACACTGGAACTGGTTGTTGAGTGAGGTTGTGGATGCCCCCACCGTGGAAGGATTCAAGACCAGGCTGGATGGGGCTTTGAGCAACCTGGTCTAGTGAGAGGTGTCCCTGACTATAGTAATGGGGTTAGAACTAGATGTTCTCAAAGGTCCCTTCCAACTATGGATGTTTGGTAAAATACTAATCATGATTTGATTTTATGGGGAATTCTTCTCAAGGTATGCTGTGCACTATAGCTTTTACCTTGACTAGGAGTTGCAAGACTGAAATGTAAATGACTATTATGCAACCTTCAGACATCTATTTAAAATAAATAGATTTCAGTGTATTCTCCCTTGGAAAAACAACAGCAAATGCTATGGCAAGAATACGTCCTCTTGACCTCCACATTATTCTGGCACATTCACTACCTCTAGAAGATTTACACATAACAGTTTATTTTCCTCCATAGCAAAAATTAAAGATGGATGAAAATTGATCAGAAAAGTCTAGTCAAGGAAAAAATACTCTAAATGGAGGCCTAAACTCCAATTAGTGGTTACTAAAGCAGATAGCAGATTTTGCTGTTGAGTCGTCTTACAGCAAAAATACAGAAAAATGCCTTCTATGATGTGCGAGGAGATAGTGCCTTCTCAGATCCAGGTCTTCCCACTTCCATTCACTCTCTCATAGCTCCTGCTATGACACACAAGCTCTAAATTTTCAGAGGATTTAGCAGTTACTGCTTCCCATTATCAGTACTATTTAGTTTCACCTATAGAAGTGCATAGATCTACCACTGTCTGAGGATAACATAGAAAATCACTTTGATTTTTTAGCTAGTGTTTTTTAGCTAGTGCTAGCATATGGTTGCTTTGGCAGAAGTACTAATAAACACATCCTGTTTTTTTTTTATACTAAGATTTTTTAGTCATCAGTTTTGAAGTCCCTAATATTTTAAACTTCACTTACTGTATTTTTGCAACAGTGTCTTTTAGGAAATGCATGCATACACATTGTTTGTTTTCTGTGGGAAACGTGCTACAGCATGATTCTTTTCCCTCCTTTCTAGTAATTTCTATGACAGGTGATGATGGCCAACAGTTTACTGTTTTTTATTGTTGCATGATACTCACATGCAAAGATTGACTGCATTTGGTAGAAACTTATGCTGGATCATCATAGAATGGCCCAGGTTGAAAAGGACTATAATGGTCACCTAGTTTCAACCCCCCTGCTACAGGCAGGGTCACCAACCACTAGACCAGGCTGCCCAGAGCCACATTCAGCCTGGCCTTGAATGCCTTCAGGGATGGGGTATCCACATCCTCTTGGGCAAACTGTTACAGTGCATCACCACCCTCTGAGTGAAAAACTTCCTCCTAATATCTAACTTAAGCCTCCCCTGTCTCAGTTTAAAACCATTCCCCCATGTCCTATCACCATCCACCCTTGTAAACAGCCATTCCCCCTCCTGTTTGTATGCTTCCTTCAAGTACTGGAAGGCCACAATGAGGTCTCCTCGGAGCCTTCTCTTTTCCAAGCTAAACAAGCCCAGTTCTCTCAATCTTTCTTCACAAGGGTGGTGCTTCAGCCCTCTAATCATCTTAGTGGTCCTCTTCTGGACTTGTTCCAAGAGTTCCAAGTGTCTTTCTTGTGCTGGGTGCTCTAGGCCTGGAAGCAGTACTCCAAATGGAGCCTCAGAAGAGCCAAGCAGAGGGGGAGTTAAATGGTAATAATGAGCAGAATATAGACAAAGTTGAGAGAGAACCAGCAAGTAAAATTCCTAAGACAACACCCACTGTAAACACAGAGTATATATTCCATTTGGACACTGCAGTAAAGTGACATATGCAAAATACCTTTTAAGTCCCACACTCTGTATTGGTGGGAAAGGAATGTACAGAGCTGGGAAGTCTTGTGAAACAAGGTGTCCTTCAGAGCCCTTACACACTGTTTAGAAATTTTCACAGCTACACTGCTCCCAGTTTTATAACATCTATTAATTGCTGTCATTGAAGCTTTGGTAGCTGAAAATACATCTTAGCATTCATTCCCAGATTCAGAACTCTAGTCCTAAATCTATAATAAAATCCTGTACTGTGGTGATAGCAAAAGATAGAAAAATTCCTAGGATCCTAATATCAGGTTTTCTGAATATAGATAACATTTAGAGATACTATGAGACGTTTGGATACAGCACCTGTATTTTCTAATAACTGTGTTATTGTCAATGCATGTTTTAGTTGAAAATTTGACTTTTTCCATGCAAATTTTCTTTGAGATTATATTAAATTTATTTTACACTGTCTGTAGACCAAGGTTTTTCTTTGATTGGTTTTTGGTTTGTGTGGGTTGTTTGTTTTTTTGTTTGTTTGTTTGTCTTTTCTTTTTGATCGGTAGATAGGTTTTTTCCTCTAATCACTACCACTCCTTAAAAAAATATTAAGATAGTGCTCATCTTTTAGATTTTTCTGAAGACAAGATAATTTTGGGACTACCGTTTCTATTTAATGATGCATTCTTTACTGGGAACCAAATTTCTTCATGTTCTATTTACTCAGAAAAAGCAACATCAGCAGGATGCTTTCTTGCTTTAAAACTAATTTAAGACACCTGCAAAACAGAATACCTACCTGTTTTACATCAGAAGCAATTAACTTCACACCTTCCACACATGCAGTGTAATCTACTCACCTACAAAAAGGGGATACAAATAGATTTATCACAGATACAAACAAAAGAAGTACTGACTTTAAAAGTGTCTTAGTTACAGACTGCTGTATCATGCAGGCTACTTTACTAATGTATGATTTTTCATTATTTGAGATACTTTTCTAAGAGTGTGTAGTTTATATACTGTAGTGAAAGGATGCTGTTATCTCAGAAGCTGACATTGTTGCTCATATAATCATTGGATGAGCTGCAGAATACAGGAACTGGATGACAAAGTATTTATTTCAGAAGGAACAATGATGTAAAGTTCCCTACAGAGAAACTCAGTAGATGGAGTAGAACTGAACACAAATTGCTATTATGTTAACCTGTGCCTAGTTAGGAAACTTACAAGAGCTTAGGGTCTAGACTTTTTTCTTTTTTCTTTTTCTTTTTTTTTCCTTTATTTTGGTATTGGTTTGATTTAGCCATCTTTATCTGAAAAGGTTCTCTTGAAATAACGTGAATGCCAAAATACAGCACAAACTAGAAATGGAAATCTCCATGTATGAAGACTGAGAAGGGGAAGGAAACTTCTAAATTTGTAAGTTAGAAAAATATGTTGTCTTTAAATATAGCTTAATTTTGTTGCTGATTCTGGTGGCTGTACCAGCTTCTTTTGGAGGAGAACTCTTGAGAGAATGCAAATACAGAGCAAGTTTAGATGAAAGTTATCCCATTATTGAAACTTCATGTCCAAGTGAATCAAAACTACAGCATACCAGCATTAACACACACTCAAGGAAAGAGCTAAATATGTATTTCAAATATAAAGATATATACAGAGATATCTGTATTTCTTTCACTAAATAGGCATTTTAATCGATCATCTTCTTAATGATGTATTACATGTGACTAATTTATAACTTCTGCCACAATTTACTGTTTGTTTTCTAAGATGCTGCTGTTATTCCTCTATGCTTACAGTTGGGACTATACTAAACTCATTAACTCCCTAAGTTACAG